GTGAATTTCAGCCTCTTTCAGTCCTCTGAATACTGCACTCATGCTTTTTTCTCTTTTGTTGTGTATTTCTGTATGCAACTGTGTGTATTTGTGTCTTCTCTCCTTTGAGAGAAGACATATATATAGATTTCAGTTTAGCCATTTATTTTGATAGATGAGCCTTTATGATTGATAATATATAACTGTACATTGAACATATATATTTTTATAAACTTAAAGATAGTTTGGATTTTATTGAGTTGTAACCTGGGGATTTCCTCAGCTATGCACCACGTCTCTAAGGAGAAACATAGAGGAAATTAGGGATTGAAAACTGCACACACCTGCTCCTTCATTTAAGCAATCAGTTGTCCTATAAATTTGAACTTCTATGCAACGACGTGGCAGCTGACTCCTTCCATATAATAAATATATATTTAGCCATGTAGTACGGAGCCCTCCAGGGGACATGGGGATTTTTTTTTTCTTTTGCGTTCCCTCTCAATAATGTACTGATCAGTTCAAACGGCATAATTGAATACTGTAAGCCTTTTTTAAGGTGGCCGCCTACTTTCTGCTTTAATACAAGGTTATGTAAGGTTTTTCCATGAATGTTAATATCTCGTTGTGAAATATCAGACGTTTTATATCTTTTTTCTTTAGTATAGAAAGGCACAACAAACCTATGATATAAACAGAAACTTTCCGTTAGTAGGAAAGAAATAAAAATACATCCAAACTATTTGGACTATTTCTGAGTTATTATCGTGGGGTAATAAGTCATCTGATTGTGTCTCTATTGTGTTCGTAGTCTGAATGGTTTAAAGGGCTGCTTTCAGTGCCGTTCCATCTTCGCCTTAAGAGACATAAACATGCAGTAAATAAATCGATTTTCAATCAGTTTTTTGCACCAAAGCGTTAATAATAATTGCGAGGGAACGCAAAAGAACAAAAAATCCCCATGTTCCCTGGAGGGCTCCGTAATGTAGAAACCAATTTTGATATAGGTAAAAATAATAAAAAATATTGCTCTTGGCTTTCCCCTGGTGGACACTGTCGGTAATGTTACCCTGTGATTTGAGCTGCCGTTAAAAGCGTATTCAAAAGCAAGCAAACCAGTGTCGCAAAAGAGAACTTATTCTTCAGGGAGAGAGAAAGGAGGAACAGAAAAAGACAAGAAAATTAGCTAAGAGAAAATTAGCTTGATAGCAACCTAGAAATGTGCCGTTCAAAAGCTAAACATTTATGCTAGTGTCCTTGTATTTGTGTGAAACTGGGTTTGAGTTGATTCTCGAGGATGGCCCTGTATATTTCTGAGTTGTTTTTTTTTTGGCTTCATAATGTTTGATAACAAAAATTAAAACTTGTCAATGTTCGACATTGTCTAGAAAAATGTTTTTACTTCAGGCTACAATAGGATGTTCAGTTCCAATGGCATCAATGACATCAGCATTGATGTCATCACTCTATGACATCACAAGGGAAACTCTCTCTTGAATGTAGCTCACAGACAGCTTTTTCTCAGACCTGTTCCACAGTTTTATTGCGGCAGATCACTCTTCAGAGCACGTTCGAAGTTTATCAGAAAGAGCAAGATATCGATTTCAGATATTACACGCCTTTCATAGAAGCGAGAATTTACCGAGTTTAAACATGAAGCAACAGCAGATTGGATGTGAACATGAAGCTTTTCCAGCAGAGCTTTCATGGATCGAAATGATGGAGCTCAACATCCAAGTTGACTACGACGCTATCGTTTTCCCTTTAGAAGACGACAGCGATTTTGTTGAATCTGTTGATTCATCTTCCATTGAGTTGGAAGATCAGTCAGCAGAGATCCAGGGGGAATCAAGTCCTTCCAGCGACTTGGAGATTCCAAGATCATTGGAAGTCAAGCAGGAAACAACTCCATCTCCTGACTTCAAGATCACCCCTTTAGTGGAAGAGACAAACCAACACGTTAGAGATCTGACTAAGCAGGTTGACGATCTTAAAACAGAACTGCAGAGTACAATTTTTGATCTCCACGAGGAAAGAGACAGAAGGATTTCATACCAGGCTGAAGTCAAATCACAGCAAGAGGAGATTCAAAAGCTGCAAAAACTGTTGGAAAAAGAACGTCACCTGCAAGCTAAACGTGAACAGGTTACTTGCTCTTCTAAAGTTACAACCGACAAGACCGTTCTTCGACAGCTGGAGCACTTCAAGTGGGAGGCTGAAAAATATGCCTCCCGCAATAAAGGTCTCATAGAAGTTATGGTTGAAGAATATAGAGTGAGACTTAAATACGAGGAGCAGCTCAAAAGTCTCTCTGAGCAGGCTTCCAAATTCAAAGAGCAGGAGGAAACTGTGAAATCTCTGCAGGGTCAGGTTGCGGACCTGAAGGAGAAGTTGAAACTTGCTCTGGATAACAACCATCAGAGAGTCTGCACCCAACCAGAGGTCCCCCTGCAAACTGAAGGCTCCATACCAACAAAGGAGACCAAGCAAAGGCAGACTTTGAATCAACAAGGGGTCTCCATGCATAGCATGGCTCAGCCTTTGCGACGACCCACATCCAGGTTGCAAACAGAAGGCTCCCTGCTAACAGAGGAGACCAAGGAAAGACAGACCTTCAACCAACCAGGGAGGTCCGAGGAAAGACAGACCTTCAATCAATCAGGGAGGTTTGAAGAAAGATGGACCTCAAATCAACCAGAGAGGTCCAAGGAAAGACAGACATTCAATCAACCAAGGAGGTCCGAGGAAAGATGGACCTCCAACCAACCAGGTAGGTCCGAGGAAAGACGGACCTCCAATCAACCAGGGAGGTCCGAAGAAAGATGGACCTCCAATCAACCAGGGAGGTCCGAGGAAAGACAAACATCCATGCGACCAAACTCCACTGGTTGCATGAAGGGCCTTCATGCTGGCGTTGGCATGAAGACCAATCTATGCCCGGCTCGGCCTTTACACCGACCCACACCCAGGTGGCACTAACCAGGGTCACTATCTAAACCCAGGTTTTGCCAACACTGGGCATTATGAAAATTCAACGCTTTACACAAATTTAGGAAATCAAAACAGACACAGGCAAATAAAATTCCTCACTCCACAATCAATGGAGAAAACACAGCATCAATTTCAGCTGTCCAGAAACAACCAATCAGAACCAGAAGTGTTAAATGTGTCTCAGCACATTCAACATATTAGAAACCAATCAGAACCA